CTTGGCAGAGGCAAGAAACAGCCGAATACAGCTGCGCTCGCGCTTATTTAAGCAGCAGGTGCAGTTTCTCGCGTCTTCAAAAGCAATAAAAACAGTTGTGTCAGGTTGTAAGCATTTATTCTTTGCTTTTTGGTGGCGAAATGACCTACGATAACGCTTTGAGAAACTCGAAAATGGCAGAAAAAACACAATCACACAAACATTAAAAATATATGCGAACAGTATAGCCGAAACGAGCAGTGCGGGGAGACTCACTGATGTTTGAAAATGATCATTCTTGAAAGAACTGGCCTGACCCTGTCCTTGATGATCTCGCGGTTTCTTTCTTTTGTCATATGGTGGATGCGGATTTTCACATACAGCTCCGCAACTTTTTTGCACAAGCTGTAGATATGATTGTCGAGGGGATCAAGGTCAAGAATGTGCTGCTCTAGCTTCTGAAACCATTTTTCCTCTACAGACAGTCGTAGCACTTCCAAAACGAGATGCTTTGACTGGGAGTTAACTGCTTGAAGTGTTCCACACTCAATCTGTAGCCGTCGCAGCCCCTTTTCAACGGCTTCACACAAGCCAATGACATCCTTGGACGGGGACACAAGCCCACCTCTGTTTTTCTGCTCAACTAGGGGAACTAGCTCATCTGAGTACAGGGCTGCAATGCACTCTTCGCATGTTGTTGTCTTGCACACTTGGCGTACAACGAAGCCTGCGATATAAGGCACCACCGCAACAACTACGGCAGAAAGGTTTTCAGGATGCGTGTAGTCGTGGTCATCGTGAGGCTCCAAGATCGAGGACCTGCGAATGTCTGTGAGCGCGCTTGTTGCGTCTACCTGGGCGACAACAGTAGTGGCATTCAGGATGGAAACCATGTCTTTGGTGCAGTTTCCCGAGCTAGAAGACGTCACTTCTGTTTGCACCAGCAAACGCTTGTATGCTGCCATGAACTGAGCAGCGGTTGGGTTGTTGTTATACCCACCTCGGCCACGAACAGATCCGAAGAAGTTCTCAGCGTGATCCTGGCTCAGTTTGTGCGTCAACAAGTACTTCAGCTTACCCTGGCCAACAAGCTCGTCGAACATTTTTTCAGTGCTCACCATGCAGATCAAGAAGCCCACAAAACCCGTTTTTTTCAAGCCTTCTAAAACTGGCCGCCCAGCCGGATCTCTCAATCCCTTTATATACGCTTGGGTGTAGGCAAAGAATGGCTTCCAGCAGGCTTCATTCTGCTTCCGCAGAGGAGCCTTATACGACCTTGCAAAAGGGTTCCTAGAATTAAAAAGGTCGAACAGGTGATCGAAGACCCTCACGAACTTCGATGTTGCACTGGCGCCCCGGAACTGGGGTAGCTTCAGCACATTTTCACAGAAGTTCAAGGCGTCAGCCACAGAGGAACTCAATGCTTGCGCAGCATATCGCACCTTCATCTTTTGTTTTTCCCATTGCACGTGGTCTTTCGTGAGTTTGTTGCCCAGCCGCAGCCCTTCGGAACGCTGCAATGCCTCCAATGCCACTATGTAGGCCCACTTTATGTGCTTTCCTTCAGCATCAACAATGTAGCTTAAGTTCGCCAAGGAATTGCGAATAAGCTTAATCATGTGGCAGGCGTCTAGGATAATGTAAACATTCTTAGCATCGTCAGCTGGGTTCACAAAGCTTGAAGAAATTTGCTCACAGTCAACACGAAGTTGAGCACCTAAACACCTGGCCATAGTGAAATTCAACGAGGCTCCGTCAAATGTGAGAGAGACTACTTCAGCCTTCACCGACGCAAGCTTCTCAATGCACTGTTTGGCCAGCTCGGCCCTCTCTGCTCCTGTGAGTGAGTCTATTAAGAAGTATCCAACTGGCATCTTAAATCTGACGTTGATTCCAACGATCATGAAGACACACGCATTTGCAGCTTCAGGAAGACCGTCATCGTCAAGCCCAGTTCCGAAGTCAACATACCCTACTACCTTATCTCCAACTAGCTCTACGTGTTTCCTGATGGCCATGTCGTCTACAATGAGAGCGCAGTAGAAGGGTTCATCACGTGCTTCCGCAAATTTCTCAAGGAAAGCAAATGCTTCGGCTGTGAAGTCAGGAGCTCCTTGAATCGACTTGTACCAGCCCCTTAGTGTTCGCTGGGATGGGAGGGCTTCGTTGAATTTGGATCGTACATACTCGTACGCGGCTGGACTGTAAAAATGCAAAGTCAGTGCAAATGCTCGCAGCTCAGGTGGGTACTTGCCCTTCTGCTCATTGCCCACCCTGCAAAGTAGTTGCTGAATGTCATCCGAGAAAACAGATGAAAACACATGTGAGCCTTCTTCTGACAAGAGTTTTTGCTCTCTGATTTCTTTGATGATTTCTTGGGCGGTTTCATTTCTCTTGACCAGCCTTCGTTTAGTTTGTTGCAGTGTTTTGACCTTCTTCTTCAACTGGGTTATCTCTTCTTGTGAGGAAAGGACCTTGTCTTTGTAGAACAGTTGGTTGGCGAGTCTTCAGGAAAATTTTCAGCTCCAGGCAGGTCGCACAACCCAGAACACTCAGGACCAGGCGGGGCCGGGAAATCTCGAGACTTGGGGTCGGGACGCTTCTGTTTGACCTGGGTTTGAAAGCATACGTTTCTCAGACGAGCTAAAAAGGCAGCAAGCGCAAAAACTAAATGAAACCTCACACGTATAATGTGGGTACAATTAGCTACACATTTTCTTTGAAGAAATAATAAATGTATTAAGTAACAAGCTTTTTCATAATAGTGCACGAGACATTGTATGCCAGCAAAAAGGACATGCACCCGCTCTGGTATAACTTTCCGTTCGCCGGATGTGCCTTTAAGTATTGAATTGTAACCACTGTCAGTATGCTGTGGATGTCAATAATGTTTTTGTAGTAAACATTGCTGTATGCCCATTCCTGCTTAAGACCTGGTAAACAGGTCAGCAGCAATAAATAAATAAATATGTATCTTGATCACCAGTTAAGGCGAAGGTGAAGCAGTTACCATTACCGGTAACTTCACCTTCGCCGGCGGCGTCCGGTAATGCGGTAAACGGTAACGCAAACACGGTAACGATATGCTAAAACTACAGCTACTCCTCCACAGTACCGCCAATTCTCGGCACGCAATCAATGCCACGTATACCCGCAACAACATTTCGTGGAACAAGTATTATGTAGTGGCCGTAACGCCACAAGCGTTATGCACGCTAAACATTACGCTTTTCGTCCAACGATGGCAGTAAAACTCACAGGTTTCTGCAGATGAGGCGGAAAAGCTGGAAACGACGTGGGCACACTTCCCACCCGCAGTCGCGTCGTTTGCCCAGTGCGGTCAAAGCGCTCAGGACTGAAATGTACAGAGCACAGGCGGTCTCCATCCTTAGCGCGCCACCCTTCACGGCGAACTGCCCGCTCCCAAAGACTCCGAACTTCTGCATTCTTTGGAAACCTGTCAAGAAATATACGACAATCAACTGCGGCACACGTACACACAATGCCATTTTGCTGCTCTTTCATGCGCGGGCCTGCAAGCAACTACAATGCGGCTGAAATGACCGCGAGTAGAACACGCTAAATTTCATGTACTTACAGGTGAAATGCGAGGCCAGAACCTTTCTTCAGCCTGTTTGTGCATCCGTAGGCAAAGCAGGAGGTAACCATTATCCAAGAGCAAGACTTGCACTCATTGAAAACTTTGAAGAGAACAGCGTGCACCAGCAACGAAGCGTGGAGGCGACACACCGGCAGCGCGCTTTCTGCCTCCGGCAAGATGGCTGCCGCTGGCGTCACCTGACGGGCGTCGCTTCCACTCCAGCAAGTTTTTATATCCTCCTTGTCCGAAAAAGCGCGCGCTGCCGAATTATAGCGACAGCAACAATACTAAGCGCAGAGAGGCGCCTCAAGGTCAACGATAAAGAAGGAAACAAACATCCAAAGACTCCCTGGGCGCGCCGTTTCTCCTCCCCTCGGAAGCGTAGTTCGCCGACTGACCTCCTCACATCGGCGGCCGAGCAAGCCCTGGAAGGTTGTCGAGGGAAAGCGGTGTGGTGATGCAGAGTTGCGTCATGTGTCGCGGACGGCCCTCGAAACGTGAAACGTCTCGCACTTTCCCCTGCCTCGGTGCAAATGTCGTCGAAAGACTAGTCTTCTGCCAGCCGTACAATTCAGGTGTTATCCTCGGCCACCCGTGGTGCTCTCCTCGTACCATTTCCGTCCTCGCGTGATAAATGCAATGCAGGCTTGTTTGAACAGGTTTCATTTTAAGACATCACTGCTGGCATGCCATATGTTCGTACCTTCACGATATGTCAGCAATGTTTTGGTCGTGTGTGGTACTGTGTAGCAACATAGTTTGCAAAGAAAAACCATTAGATAGACATGAATGTATTTCATTGCGTAGGAGGGTCAATGGTTGTGCGCATGTACTACTGGTGTGCCGAAGTAAACCCCTGTCGAAGTAGGCAGCACCATATGGTCGGCAGAGCGCTTTTTCTTGCGTAGCATCGCAGTTTCAGCGTAGCCCAAGAAATACTAGGGTGTTTAGAATTAGATATCTATGTATTTTCTAATGCTTACTTATTGATATTACACCCCAAATATGCGCAATCTTTTAATTTTTGATTGACAATGTTAACAAGTATAAATGCAGCCACCAGTTCAAGATGACTGGGCGTTCAGCAAGTGCTTCAACTTAGGCCGGGTGAGCAAAATGTGTGACAGACAGACAAACGAAAAGAATGACCTAAATTTTTTTATCCATGTATTTCAAGAGACTATCATCGTTGAAACAATTCGAATTATTTTCCAAAGCACACGATGAAGGATTTAGAATTGCAACACGTCGCGCCGCAGCACATGGCGTCGAACGACCTAGCCACATAGCATACATCCTTTAGCTAACTAACGGTGAGCAATCTATATACACCATTTGCTGTTAATGGTACGCAGAGCTCATCACTTTTCGAATAGTTTCTTTCAGTTCACCTTGAACCAAAAAAAAGGGCAGCCACAAATTGTATGTTAAAAAAATTCTTTATTTTAACCACAAGATAAAGACTATATACTTCAAAACTGGTGTCAAAAAGTGACAAGCCTTCTGGTTGAGGAGCGGACCACGTTTCTGAGGGGCGTTTAAGGAGGGGAAGGAGATTTTAGCCCGGGCGGCAGAGATCACGCGTTGTAGGACGACGACGAGACATCACCGCCGTGGCCGGTCCAGTTCGTGTGGACGAATTTGCCTGGCTCGGAGAGACGCTCGTACGTGTGTGCCCCAAAGTAGTCACGTTGAGCCTGCAAAGAATAGAAATTGATGGGTTTTGAACACTTTTCCTAATTATAATGAAGTAGTCTTGTGATTAGCACACGACGCTTACAAAATCACGTCGCAAAATTTTGTTGCACCTGTCAAGTAGAAGCAGTGTTAAGAGATTTGTAGCACAATTTAAGCACTTTTTCTTGTTTTACAAGAAGCTTACTTTCAGTGTGATGGCGAGGACATGCGCTGGCACGGCGGCGACAATAACTATGTAGCTAAAGATGTTCAAATCGGTCAAGGGCAGTTGACTTGGGTATATGGTACTATATTTCAGTACATCGCATCATTTGTAGAGTGAAGAGGGAGATATTTCTAGGTGACTGAAAACTCAAATCCAGGGCACGTGCTGCTCAGCTATAACATTGGTCTCCCGTCGTGTTCTCAGGAGCCTCGACTACTGTTCATCAGTGTTTTTTGACCGCACGCCCATACAGTGCTACAGGGCCCCTTTAAGCAGAGTAAAGTTCAGTTCTGGTCAAACAGCAACAGACGAGGTTATTGGGTAGTATGTCGAGAACGGTGCATGAAGCGAGGCTGCATTGTGTTTGTAAAGCGGCCTTACATGAGCAGATTGATTTGATTGGTACATGGGATTTAATGACCCAATACCAACTACTATATGATGAGAGAAGCCATAGTGGAGGGCTCCGAAAATTTCAACCTGCATCGGGTTCTTTCACGTGCACTCAAATATGAGCACACGGGCCTACAGCATTTTCGCCTCCATCAAAAATGGAGCCGCCGCAGCTGGGATTTGCATTTTGCGGCCCGCAGGTCAGCAGCCGAGTACCTCAGCCACTTAACACCGCAACTGAGGGCCTTAAAAAAGCCGATACTATTTATGTGCATAAACTTTATATGGAATACTAGCAAGAAGTAGCAAGGTACATAAAATATATTGCCGAGTGATTATGAGCTATATATCTAAAAAGCCATCAGTTTATTACAACCCGAACACGAAATCCGAAAGCAGCTGTTTAGAGGCACTTTCATTTTGCTGTACATGAGGCAAGGAATTCAGGGTAGTGTTAGAAATGACCTTCTGCTTCAACAACGCAAATGGCAGGATTCCTCTTGCAGGCACAGCGCACCTGTGCATCTTGGTGTTCATGTCAACGAGCCTCTGCTTTGTAATACAGTGTTGATAGTTTCAGAAAACTATCTGACTATTAAGTGCCCATTTGCAATGGTCCTGCAGCGTTAGTTTATATACCTAACCTGCACACATAATGACAGAAAATGGATTATCAATTCTTAACTAGTCTCACTAAATAGCTTGAAATGAAAAAAGCTATTTAGCTGGCCTTAGACTACCATTTGTCACGCTCGTAAAGTGTACCTGAATAAGGTTGGCCGGCAGGGTGTCCGAGCGGAATCCATCATAGAAGGCAAGCGCAGTGCTGAACGCCGGTGTGGGGATGCCTAGCTGCGCGGCAGTGGCGACCACGTGGCGCCAGGAAGTCTGGCAATCGCGGATGGCATCCACGAAGAAAGTGTCGAGCAGAAGGCAGCTCAGCGAGGGGTTCTTGTCAAAGGCAGCCTTGATGTTGCCCAAGAAGGCGCTGAGGGCAAACGAGAATAACACAAATTACACGTGTGCTACCTCAACAATGACGTCTCTGTCAAACTTTTAATATATTACTGGTAAGTCACTACTGAAAGTGATGAGAGCACTTGAGCCACTTGCTTTCAAGACTGCAATAATGTGAAGTTGTCTTCAAGCCGCTCGCTAAAATAAATAAAGCAAAGTACCAATCAGTCATTCATCATCATCATCATCATCATCATCAACATCATCATCATCATCATCATCATCATCATCATCATCATCATCATCATCATCAGCCTGACTACATCCACTGCAGGACAAAGGCCTCTCCCATGTTCCGCCAGTTAACCCGGTCCTGTGCTTGCTGCTGCCAATTTATACCCGCAAACCTCTTAATCTCATCTGCCCACATAACCTTCTGTCTCTCCCTAACCCGCTTGCCTTCTCTGGGAATCCAGTCAGTTACCCTTAATGACCAGCGGTTATCCTGTCTACGCGTTACATGCCCGGCCCACATCCATTTCTTGTTATTGATTTCAACTATGATAGCCTTAACCCTCGTTTGTTCCCTCATCCACTCTGCTCTCCTCTTGTCTCTTAAAGTTACACCTACCATTTTTCTTTCCATTGCTTGCTGCATCGTCCTCAATTTAAGCTGAACCCTCTGTAAGTCTCCAGGTTTCTGCTCCGTAGCTAAGTACCAGCATTATACAGCTGTTATATACCTTCCTCTTGAGGGATAGTGGCAATCTACCTGTCATAACTTGAGAGCGCTTGCCAAATGTGCTCCACCCCATTCTTATTCTTCTAGTTACTTCAATCTCGTGGTTTGGCTCCGCAGTAATTACCTGCCCTAAGTGGACAGTCTTTTACAACTTGAAGTGCACTATTACCTATCTCGAAGCGCTGTTCTTCTTCGAGATTGTTGTACATTACTTTCGTTTTCTGCAGATTAATTTTAAGACCCACCTTTCTGCTCTCCTTGTCTAATTCGGTAATCATGAGTTGCAATTCATCCCCTGAGTTACTCAGCAATGCAATGTCATCGGCAAAGCGCAGGTTACTAAGGTACTCTCCATTAACTCTTATCCCTAACTGTTCCCATTCTAGGCTTCTGAAAATCTCCTGTAAGCACGCAGTAAATAGCACTGGGGAGAATGTGTCCCCCTGCCTTACACCCTTCTTGATCGGTATTGTGTTGCTTTCTTTATGAAGCACTATGATAGCAGTTGATCCCCTGTATATTTCTTACAAGATGTTTATAGTATATACTTCATCTACCCCCTGATTCCGCAGTGTCTGCATGACGGCTGATATTTCTACTGAATCGAACGCCTTCTCGTAATCTATGAAGGCTATGTATATGTATGTTGGTTATATTCTGAGCATTTCTCTATTACCTGATTGATAGTATGAATGTGGTAGATTGTTGAGTAGTCTGTTCAAAATCCTGCTTGTTCCTTTGGTTGATTGAACTTTAATGTTTTCTTTACTCTGTTAGCAATTGCCTTTGTATATAGCTTGTATACTACAGAGAGCAAGCTGATCGGCCTGTAATTCTTTAAGTCCTTGTCATTGCCTTTCTTATGTAATAAGATAGCATTTCTCCAAGACTGGTACTCTTCCTGTCAGGAGACACCTCGTAAACAGAATGGCTAGTTTTTCTAACACTATCTGTCCTCCATCTTTCAGCATATCTGATGTTACCTGATCCTCACCAGCAGCTTTGCCTCTTTGCATGCTTTCAAAGCTTTTCTGACTTCTATCATTGCAGGTGGGGTATCATCTGGGTTGCTGCTAGTTCTTATAGTATTAAGGTTGTGGTTGTCCCAGCTACTGTACAGACTTCTGTAAAACTCCTCCGCTATTTTAACTATCCTATTCATATTTGTACTTTTCCTCTTGGTGCTAGCTCATATTTGTACTTTCCCTCTCAGTGCTAGCTCATTGATTGGCTTTTTGCGTATCAGTTTCTGTCGTTCCTTCTTCAAGTCTAGGCGAATTCGAGACCGTACCATTCTTTGGTCACTGCATCGTACCTTGCCAACCACTTCCACATTCTGCACGATGTCTGGGTGTGCACTCGTTATAAAGTATTTCATTCTTAATTTTGCCATTAGGGCTCCTCCACGTCCACTTGCGGTTTCCTCGTTTTCAGTAGAAGGTATTCAAAATCCGTAAATTATTGCGTTCTGCGAATTCTACTAGTAGCTCTCCTCTGGCGTTTCTAGTACCGATGCCATAATCTCCTACTGCCTGGTCTCCAGCCTGCTTCTTCCCTACCTTTGCATTAAAGTCTCCCATCAGTATACTATACTGTGTTTTTACTTTACTCATTGCCGATTCCACGTCTTCACAGAAACTTTCAACTGAAGCATCATCATGGCTGGATGTAGGCGCACAAGCCTGTACCACCATCTTGTATCTTTTATTCAGTTTAATTACAATACCTGCCACCCTTTCATTAATGCTATTGTATTCCTCTATGTTTCTGTGAATTAGGAACCCCACTCCCAGTTCCCTTCTGTCAGCCAAGCCCCAATAGCAAAGGACATGCCCATTCTGTAGCACTGTATAGACCTCATCTGTCCTCCTAACCTCACCGAGCCCTATTATATCCCATTTAACACCCTCTAGCTTCTCGAATAGTACAGCTAGACTTCCCTCACTAGATAAGGTTTTAGCGTTAAACGTTGCCAAGTTCAGGTTCCAATGGCAGCCTGTCCGGATCCAGAGATTCTTGGCACCCTCTGCTGCGTTGCAGATCTGACCGCCACCGTGGTCAGTTGCTTCGCAGTTGCTGGGGACCGAGAGCCGTGAGTTATTTGACGTATGCATGTGGGAGGTAGTGGCCAAATTGTGGATTAACCACCCACAGATTGGGTGGCCAATCCTTCTCTGGTGAGGGAGTGCATTCCCAGCGGTGGTTACCGGTGAGTCCGCACCCCAGGCCTCTTAATGCAGTTCCACCACCATGCGGAATTTTTTTTATCCGATTGGGAACTGTGCGGCACCGGGAATAAGTGTGTCAACTGTGTCATTTTGCTTCTATTCAGTCCTAGTAAAAACATGATTGAACATGAATCCCTGCTTTTGCTGGCTGACTTAAAACCATCATCGAAATGCAGACGCTACAGCAGAGATGGAAACATATGGCCTTCAATTCTGCAGTGCAATACTTCTTACTATAATCCATCACAGTGTGTCTGCTGTTGCAAATGTAGGTGCTTGTTTTGCACACTGAATTTCGCGACACAGTGTGCAAGTACCTGCTCACCAAGGACACCAAAACACCCATGCTACCACGGAGAGTCGAAGATGAACTATCCTCGTTACACTGTCCCCAGAACTAGGCCATTTCGCTTATCAAGAAACCAGGAAAGCAAAGAATAGTAAACTTCACTTTCAGGAGGAGGGAGTAATGTATTCGAAGATGTACATTTCTCATAGTGGAGACAGTTAAGTGCTCCTCGTTTTATTGTGCAGTTCTTAAAAGAAAACAGTGACAACCAAACTGTAGGGGTATTACCAGATGTCCATATCAGCAGATTCAGAAACACGTGCTGCCTCCCGTTCTACTCGGCAGGTCAGCTGCAGGCGTTAAGCAAGCGCGGGGACAAATACTAGATTTGCTTTCGCACTTAAAGAATCCCAAGCGACAAAGTTGTACCACTCCCCAGGTGACGACCATCCAGCAATTACACATCAAGGTATCCAGAACTCACCTCCGAATGATGCAACCACCACGCCACATCAGAGCAATAGCGCCATAGTTGAGGTTCCACTTGTAGTCGTGAGCTGCACTTCGCAGCAGCATGAAGCCTTGGGCATAGGAGACAATTTTGGAAGCATACAGTGCCTGAAAGAGAGGGAGACGAAGGGTTTGACTGAACTGTTCTTTGACACATTATTAAAAAAGGGGAATCATTCAAGAGGATCGTTTCTTTGTTAGACAACTTATGAAACTTAGACAATGAAGACAAGGAGGCCATAAAAGATTACTTATTGCTAGTTTTTTATTGAACAACGATGATAGGCACTCGCTGAGCCACTTTCCAGGGTATTTATGTGTGTAATTTCTGCAAGTGTTAATGATGGCCACTGGTAGCCAGGAGAGGCTGTGTGGATCACTTTTTGACAAAAGACGTCATGTGATGCACGAGATGGTAGCTCACCAATAGACTCGCACGCTACCTAAACACCAAGCCTGCAAGTACTTCGCTATGAAGCTTTCGCCATGAAGGTATGAAAAAAAAGGGAACTGTTCAAGGTGCTCGTCTATGCTAAACATAACTAATGAAATTGGTGCACCACGAGTGACTCGTTAGTTAACTGGCCAACTCTTCGGACTTGATGGAATGCAGCCATCAGTGGTACTCAGCAGCAACAGAAGGCTTATTACACATGGACATTTTTGCAATCTGCTGACCACAGGTGGGAATGAATCTTGCCTACCCAAGCAAAAAAATGCGAAATAATACAACTGCTAACTGTAATAAGTACTATATAAAAGCTCCCTACAACAAAAGCCCTGTGCAACAAGTGTCTACGTAACAAAAAGAGTCGAAATAATTCATGTTCTTTTAGTAAGAACATGTGTGATGAACATGTGTGATGTGCCCTTAAAGAAATTGGGAACTGCCAATTTTTTTTAATGCAATAAACACTTGGATTTCAAGCATAGATTCGTGAGACAACCGCAACTTTGAGGTACAGCAAACAAAAGGCTAGATAAAGTGGGGCAGGTACGCTTAGAAGAGTCTTGAACCATATATATATGCCTTAGACTTTGCCAGAAAACCCATTTTGAAGATAAAAGACACTGCTATGAACATCACAGCTAAATCTAGCACTTGTATGTAGCTATAAGAGTTTACGATTGGAGGACAAAGTTGCCCTTGTCTCAACCGCCCCCTTTGTGTGGAGGCCTGTGCTCACTCTCCCGAGAGCTGCTGGCAATTGCCGTTTCATGTTTAGCAGCAGATAGCAAGCACGTAGATTAATGGCTGACGCAAATCGCCAGGGGTGTTTGGATCAGACGAGTTTCTTGCCACGTGGTGCAGCCATATGTCGGCACAGCGCTCCATAGCTAGCCTAACACAGTGAGCAACACTTGCTCACCGGAATCGCAACAGGAGAGAGCAATCCTGTTTCATCACTCGTGCTCAAAGTCGTAATAAATGTTGATAAAACTTCTTTTCCCTGTGCCACTCCTCCCTGTGTAGCTTTTACAGTGCGATTCTCGAGACTGACGACGAAAGAAAGCATTTTTAAAGCACTGTAATGAATCCCTTTGAATCTGCTTGTTCAAGACAAATTTAGAAATTCATGCAGCAATCGATCGGCGATGCTATGAACTTGGACAGTGAGGCCATTCGATGACTACTTGGGAAAGTGGTTCATGGCACCTTTAAAAGTAGAAGAACTGTGTTAGACTCACCTTGCGGATGTGCTCAACAAACTCTGTTGGGTCCCAGTGAGCTTTCCTGTCGGGCCAGACAGGATCTTACTCGCCTCAACCCTTTGGTCCTTGAGTGAAGACAGGCAACGGGCAAATACTGCTTCACCTGTGATAAACAGTACAAAAATATTCAGAGCCTTACACAGCCAGCATAAATATTCGTTTGCAGAGACATTTAAATGTGCAGCTGACTCCATAAACTAGACGAGTGCCATTTTGTTCATCCCGCACCCAACACTCTTTTTCAACCGAACGCTCCCATCAAAATCACGGCGATGAAATATTAGGGAACATTGACAGTCATGTTGAACCTTTGCTGTAATTGTGACGTAAATTGAAATGCCCAAACATTGAAGTTCGAAAAAAATTCACACTTTTCGTTGGTGGGATCTTACCCACAACCTCCTTTGAATGTAGTGGGTCCGGATGCCACCAATGACTAACGAGATTTTTTATCCATTTTAGCACAATTTAATGCAAGTGAATTACCCCACTACAACTAAATAATAATGTCCCCAATGCTTTTCTTGGCTTCAATGCCTGCGAGATTTATCTGGTACATTTAACAAAAGAAACAAGCTTCTCAAGAAAAAGTTTGCCTTCTTCCATGCATTCTTTTAAAGGACCCTTAAAACACCTTCAATATTTTTTCAAACATTTCAAGTAAGTACTCATCCTGAGCCGAATGCAGTCACAATCAACGATGCCACACGTGGCAGCGTTACGAGCTGCAGGCGTGCCACAAATTGAAAGAAACCATCCCTCCTCTCTTCCAGGCCTTTTGGGGCCTCCGTCTGACATCGCAAGGTTGACTGACCAGTCATGACTTGAGCTATGCACCAAGCAAAATCCTAGTCTGAAAGTAGTCTGAATGAATAGTCTGAAAGTAGCTGCCCACGCTCTAGTTCACTGTGGTGTGGTGGTGGCAGCTCCGCAACTTCGTGGAGGTGCTCTGGCACAGTGTGTCACCGTGTTGATCCATCTCGTTTGCTGTCCTTTGAAAGCACGCGTGCAACACAGGGTCCATACCAGCACGATTTGTAGGAGCATGGGCCGAAACGGCAACAGGGGTTAGCCAAGAAGCACCGAGTTGACAGAGTTGCGGCAACCAGAAGTAGACTTTTGAACAGTGCATCAGCAATGACGTATGCTTCGAGGAATCTGGAAGGGCATTCAGCAGAGAGGGCAAACAGACTTTGGAAGAGGAGAACAGCAAAAGATAACTAAGGAATAAGCGAAAGGGGCACTCGCCATGTTTGGATCGTCAAACGCATCTAGCTCTGCTATTATGATTCACAATATTTCGAAAAATTTTCATGACTACGTGTTCATAAGCCTATAATAATGGTTGGGATTTAACAACCCAAGACCACCACATGAATATGAGAGACACTGCAGTGGAGGGCTCCGGAAATTCCGACCACCTGAAGTTCTTTAACGTAGACGTAAATGTAAGCACACGGGCCTCAAGCATTTTCGTCTCCATATAAAATGCGGCCACCGCGGCCAGGATTCGATACCTCGACCTGCTGGTCAGCAGCCGAGTGCCGTGGCCACTAGACCATTGTGACGGGTCTGTTCATCGCAGACCTGTGCACAACTTCCCCACCACAACTATATTTAGACCACTGGGTGGTTTGGGGTTTTTTAAAAAGAATGTCAGATTGCATAAAAATTACTTTAGTTCAAATAACGAATCTAAAGTGCTGAATTTCGCAAACATAAAAATAGTGACCCTACATTGACATGGCCTGAGTAAATAAGTGTTCATTGAATCGCTGCAATAGCGTGAGCATTATAATAAACTACCCTTATAGCGTTGCGGTCTGTATGATGAAGCATTTGGGAGGTGCCACGAACTTTGACAACAGTGTTTGGCTGTATGATCCGGTTTGTGGCTATTCTTTTAACATGCCCCTGTGCTGTTTGTGAAACAACCACTATGACCGTTTTACAAAGTGAATAGAACTCACCAATTAAGGTAACTGGAATGCCGTGCTGAAGAGCAGCTATTGCCGTCCACTTGCCTGTTCCTTTCTGCAAAGACAACAAAGAGCAACAGGTTAATACTTTACATTAACAGAAGCACAGATCTGTGAATAAGAACTTTTATGATGCCCTGAAAACTAAACAAGTGAATTCTGAAATTTCTAAGACAATATATTTTCTATAAGCAGTATTAAAAGCAGGGACAAGAAGCTTCTTTATAAAACTGCTTTTTTCTGTAACACTGGCTTGCACAAAAGTGCCAGCCAAGGCATTAACCAGGGTCAATAATTCAGTGCTGTAAACATTTTCTCAGAAGTCTCTCTGGGTGCCTCTATTATCCTCTCGGCTGTGGTAAATAGGCATGACCACTCGAAAATGCACTGCCAAGGCACTGATTCCCTCTGTACTCCCGCAATAGAGTTCAGAAAGGAGGTATTTTTCCTCTCCTGTCAAGATGTCTAGAGATATGCAACTCTTGAGATCAGATGAGAATCCTTTACAAAGTATGGCCTCTGCACCTCTAAATACCAAAGTCCACAAAAGAAAGCAGTAACAAAAAAATTCACCGAATGAGGTAAGTAGAACTAAATGTGGCAAAAGCAAAGGCATACAAGTAGTTTGAAACAGTATGGTCTTACCTGCCCAGCTGAGTCCCGAATCTTTGTCACAAGAGGCTCTTTGTCAGTGTCCTTGAACTTGAGAATGTTGCTTGTGATTTCAATCAGAAACGAGTCCAAGACGCCCTTGTTCCAGTTGGCAAAAACCTATGAGAAAGATCAGATTTCATTGCCGAGCTAGGTTCCTGGTTCCATACAAATAATACTTATACACACACAGGGCAAGTTATGCGCAGAAAAATAAAAGCCTAGCAAACTGCACTTGCTTGCACATGAAGCCACTGCCTATGACAAAAAGCAAAGTGCAACAATAGACTTGTTCGACACTTTGTGCAAAAACCTGCAGCCTTCAGGAGCACAATAAAAACTGATGCTACCTTTAGATATCAGGGGGGTCCTTACCATCTGTGTTCAGGGTGGGAAAGACACCCTTGCAAGTGCCCGCCTCCCCCCCCTCCTCCCCGAGACTTGCCTTTAGAACATCATACGTTTGAATTTCTTAACGGTTCAGTATAGCACATTCAAGGTTTTCATAGGCAGATTTTATTTCAGTGTGTACCTGTGTCAATACCCCTCAGCCGACTAAAAATCATATAAGCTGCTTGATCAATTCAAAAAATACTTTAGTAAAACAAGGCGATTGCTGAAGCTTGGACCCCATGTTCCTTTTACAAGTTTTATTCCAAAGCATACTTTAATTCTAATGTAAATAAAAATACAACTCGTATGTATACAAGATGGCCACCATGGTCGGATGCGAGTTCCCCTTTGCGATTTTCCAGGATTTACACCACTGGCTATTGTTACTACTGCTGTTACGGCTAATTAATGTTATGCACAGATTGCCTGCATGTACTATCAACAAGCTAAACAGCTACAATCAAACAATGGTCTCTGTAACAGACCTCGCTCATCTGATCGTGATTTAGACCGGCTGCGTTTTTCATGAGGTGGTAGGCTTCACAGATGAGCTGCATGTCGCCGTATTCGATGCCGTTGTGCACCATCTTTACGAAGTGACCCGAGCCACCGTCACCGACCTGCATGAAAACGAATTACACCTTAGACATGCAAGGTGCATGCAATTAACATAGGAACACACTAATGACAATAGACTATTTGCTGTATATATTCATTCGTATGATGACAATACAACAAAATTATGCTTCTGCATAACTTTCCTGCAGAGAGAATGCACCTATACACCTGCTAGGTTTATTCACTCTGTATGGCTACAACTTCCAGTAAAGATCAACAAATAGAAACACTGCTCTTTCAATTCATCACTTACATAGTGATAGAACAGCAAGATTGCTAAAGGAAACTATTTGACCACTTGCACTTCGAACTAGAAAAAAAAAGTTTCGTATTTGAAAACTTGCACAAGCAATTGTCATGAAATTTAATGCCAAATAAAAACTTGTGCTCCTATGTTGCAGGACACAGTGCAACTAACAGATGAAAGGTGTATTATATCTGGGGTTTTACATCCTAAAACCACATTTTGACTATGAGAGATGGCATAGTGGAGGGCTCTGGAAATTTCGACCGGTTCTTTAACAGTGCACCGACATTGGAAAGTACACACGTCGCAACTGGGATTGACCCGCGACCTTCGGGTTCGCTAGCTAAACACTATAATCGCTGCATCGCCGCGGCGAACAAATGAAAGGTGTAAAAGATCTACTAGTACATCTCTTCATGAATAACCATGCCGGATAGCACATTTTTGTGACTAGCAGACTTTCGACCAATACGAATTGCATCTCCGACTTACATCGCTACAGCTGAAATGCAAACTGCAACTTCGCTAATTCTTCGTTGCTTTTTTTTTTTTTTCAAGATGCAAGTCAATTACTACTAACCCAATCGCAGCATGGCTCTCCATCTACCTTGGCAGAAATGCTCTGGAAGATCTCCTTGATGTGAGGCCTGCAAGAAATGTGGTGTAGCAGTATTCAAAAACAAATCAGCTTCATATCAGCATGAAAGTATCAGCTTCACAATGCTCACCGATTTGTCCTCGCTTTCCCCCTACATTTTTTGCAGCATTACGGTGAGTATTAATACTAGCATAGGGTTGGATGTAAAAGCGCACGGTACGGCCCACCCCCTTAGACAGCTTACTATGACAAAGGGCATGTTTACCGTACTTGCAGTTGTGGCCACTGTGGCGCCACGTGGCGAAGACAAGAGAATAGACGCCGGTGGCTTCTTTGGGGCTGCAGCCACTCAAAATTAGTTTGTGGTTCCTCTTGTAATAGAAGTACACCTAATTTATTAAAACAGTGATTCTGCCAATGAGCATCCCTGGAGAGTGCAGACAAGGCAAGCTCTTTGCCATACACAATCCGCGTTTACTCGGGTTGACGTCACCTAGTTAGTGCATATGGCAGATGGCGTAGCCGCATTGTCATTTTAGAAGAGACTTTTTTCTAACTCCTTGATACAGTCGCAAATTTTTTTTAAAATAAAGCTGTTTTTGAGTCTAGTGAGAGTGTTATAATGATGCTTTACTATATTTGCATGCCTTCTCTGCTCATGTAAAGCTCCTGAACCAACTCTTGGTCAGGAAAAGTCCGCATGATCGTTTGTAGTCCACTGTACCCAAAGTAATCTGACACCCACCTCCATTAAGTACACTGCAAACAATGGCTGTTATGATTGCTCAGTTATGAAGAAAAGGACAAAGAAAGCACTCCAAGTTTCAATGAAGGTTTCAACAATGGGAGTTGTCTTACAAAGATGGCAGGTCCGCAACAAGGTCAAATCTCGTCAAAATGTGGCTTCTAAGCAGAAAATGCCGTTGTTTGGTCTTTTCACCAGTTGACTTTGATGAAATGACTAAGAATCTCAGCCAACAGCCAGATGGGACCTACCATGCCTCGGGGTTGCCACCAGGCATGAGCGAGGGACCATAGCGTGCGCCTTCCTCGCCGCCACTGACACCAGAGCCCACGAATAAGATACCCTTGCTTTTGAGGGCCTCGCAACGACGCTCACTGTCCTGGTACTCGGAGTTGCCACCGTCGATGATGATGTCCCCTTTGTCCAGCAGAGGGACCAGCTTGTTAATGAAGCCGTCAACTGCATCTCCAGCTGCACAAAAATTGCACAAGCATTCTTTGAAAGAGTGCAAGGGTAAACTGAACGAACTTCCTTAACAGTGCAAAGATCCAAAGGCAAGATGGTGCCCCTGTGCAGCCTCAATGGTCAGAGAACAATTTCCTACAGCCTCTCGTTTTTTTGTTTTTTTTAATTAAGAGTGTAGGGACCTTGCATTACAGTCATCAGAGTAAACAAAACGGGCACTGATGTAAATAATGGCAAGTAACCTGTAAAAATACGCGAGTGCAGTAGATCGAGAAAGTCATTATTTGCGACAGCAAATGCATCTATTGCAGAAAAAAGAAGAGCTGGCTCAGCTTAACACTTCACAAAAATAGCACTTAAAAGCATTTCGTTGCACATGTTGAACACTGCCTTGTTTCACTTTCACCCCCCAACTACTACTGAACCACATTAATCCTCCTGCCCTGCCGCGGTGTTCTAGTGGCTAAGATACTCGGCTGCTGACCCGCAGGTCGCGGGATCGAATCCCGACAGCGGCGACTGCATTTCCGATGAAGGCGTAAATGTTGTAGGCCCGTGTGCTCAGATTTGGGTGCACGTTAAAGAACCCCAAGTGGTCGAAATTTCCACAGCCCTTCACTACGGTGTCTCTCAAAATCATATGGTGGTTTTGGGACGTTAAACCCTACATATCAATCAATCAATTAATCCTCCCATTTGCCAAGACAGCATATGCAGTTAGCTCACCCGTGCTCTGGTGTGCAATTGATTCAAGCATCAGCATCCTGAACTGAAGTAAAAGGCCCAAGTTTTTCTAGAAAGACTCCTTTTCTTTTGTTAGTTAACTTTCCTTAACTCAATTTTTTTTTACAGGTAAATTTGTACCTAGCCAAGTTTGCAATAATTTCAAGCTGAAAAGTTTGTGGGCATATGTGCACAAGTACAGAATTGAAGCATCGCAAAATATTAGCCCGACCTTTGACAAGCAGCACGATACGGCGCGGAGTCTTGAGTTTGGAGACAAATTCCTCGAGGGAGTGGGCGCCGATGACCTTGGTGCCCTTTGCCTCTTTCTTGAGAAACTCGTCCACCTTCTCAACAGTTCTATTGAAGGCGCAAACCTAGGAAACAACAAAGGCAATTTCAAATCGTTACAAATCAAACCATCAGATCCGACAAAAAGTACTGTGCAGGTCTCCTTTTTGCTATAATGGGATAACTAAACATAATAAAATTAAGTGAATGTAATGTAACCAAGCATACTTTGAAATGACCCAGTATACTGCAGTCATGACTTTGGGAGAAGAGGGAAGTAACAAAACTTACATTAAAGACGTGTATACGAGTCTTGAAATAATTGTCTAGGCAAGACAGTTTCTTTCAAAATGCACGGTCAGCCATTTACCAATATGTGTCGCAGCTTCGCAACGTAAACCGAGCCAAGCCAAAATACACACGAACGTGGTCACAGATGCAATTGAGTCTGGAAAGAATGACTAAGCAAACTATTTAAATGCATAGATTACAAGATGTCACTATACATAGCCAGACATTGTTATGACAATTTTTACATACATATTTTGATGTCATTTGATATGAGTGCATCATGACGCCTTTGATATAGAAGCAGTATTTTGTCACTTTCTGCATTTGTCATAAGCACATGTTGATTACATGCAGACATGAGTGATACTAAATAGCTTAGTTTCATTGACTGTAAGCCAAAATTTATCATGAATGGTGACCTCTAAGAGTATGGCCATTGCTTTGTATGCAACAGCTTCAAAATTGCTGAAATAAGAATTGCATTAGGCGCATTTTCATGCTGTTTCATCAGTGTTATGGGCACGGCCAGAGAGAAGATTATGCACATCAAAGAGGGTTTTTGAATGCTCACCACAAAGCCGTGGTCATTCATGTTCAGGATCAGGTTCTGGCCCATGACCGCCAGGCCAATGAGGCCTACATCTGCCCTGCACAAAGAGAGACATTATACTTGAAAGCATGCAGTGGAATGGCACCTTCCTCACATATCTGAAATGTTCAAATTAGAACACTGTAAAGTATGTTGAACATGATCGAACATGTAAGTGCTTGTCGACAAACGTGTAGGAGGATCAAGACAGCTGTTCCAGTGTTGCCAATGCATTGATGAGAGGAGCATCTCTGAAATGTCAGTGTTGCAACTGTGCTTGTCACATTCTTCCACTCTTAAGACATATAGCCAAGCCTGGTTTTATTGAGTGCATCAGTTCATGCCAAACAATTGTAATATCCGTGCATGTACACCCATTGTAACTACGAAAAATTGAGCGATACATTCGTAAATCACGCTAAGAAGCAAAACCTTCTATTACGCATGTATCGAAAACGATCACCGCCACACGCTATATCTATATTGAATGGTGCATATAGCGCCCCCTTTAAAAGTGCGCTTCTCTTAAACGTCCCCAATCGTGTCATGCGAAACACTGAAGCTGGGCTTTGTTTTTGTTTTTAATAATCTGTCTCCCAAAGGTGCTGAATAGATGCAACGTCACAAGAATAAACAAGGTGCATCTCAAGAAGTACGTGCTACTTCAAGTAACACGTGGTACTAATTGCTACTATAAGTATCTACTTATGCTATATTAAGTAGCAGATGGAAGGTTCGTGCAGTCAAAAAAAAAAATCGCCAAATTTTAGTTAATAAACTTCACTGCACCGCAATAATGTAGCGCAGTGAAGCACACTAAATGCATTAGGATTTGCTTGTTATTAGGTGAGGCGTACAACGTGGGGTTTCCAATTTCTATTTCCCCTTTCCGTTCACCAAGGTATGGTAGCATAACAAAAGCTCCTATTCTTCCTCTTTTCCCTGTATCTCTCACTAAAGCTTTCAAACCAACCGACACTTCCGAGGTTGTAGACAGAATTTTTTTTCTGAGCAGTCCGACGTTCGTGCCTGTGCTTGTATGCTTAAGCGTGTACCCAAACACAGGAACAAAATAAAAATTTTGGTGAGGGTAATAACTTCACATTATACCCTCATGGTTATGCCACTGTTCACTAATCCTTTTAAGAAAAAAAAAAAAGGAAAAAGCTCCGTCCGGAAGGCTCGCGAGAGGGCGGAGAGGCTCGGCCTACCCATCCCGACATGTGGGTCTAGTCAGGAGTTGGATGTATACGCATGTCGTCCTCTTTCTTCCGGACCTAAGAAATGTCTTTTCCGTCTCACTCGCAGTTGCAGTTCCTGTCGCGTTACAGAAACAACACTTCGTCTATGCAATAATAATTATCAGGCATTATGCGATACTCAGCATTCAACTTCAGGGGGTCAAACGTTTCGGAACCCCTGAAGGTGAATCTATGTACACGGGCCTCAAGCATTTTCAACCCCATCGAAAATGCGGACGCCGCAGCCGGGATTCGAACGCGCGACCATCGGGTCAGCAGTGTAGTACCTTAACCACAAGACCCCCGCGGAGGGTTTGATACTACAACGCAATCATGATTTGCTAGCGGGACACGTCTTCTAGAGATAATGAAACCAATTGACAATTAAGCCAAAAGTTGGCATTATTTATTGGAAGAGGGAGCACCCTCCCTCGTAGCTTATTTGGTACAGCAGTGGTTCTCGGCCTGTGATGTCTCGGGGACTTTTTCCGAGTTGGCGGAAGTGACAATAAAGGACCCCTTGCAGAGAAAGTAAAAAAAAAAGGGGGGGGGGGGGTCATGCCACAACATGCAACGTGAAAAATAGGGGCGGCGTCAGGGGGGTTGGAGCGCCCTAAAGTTCTAAAATTCTCGCCTGTCCCTCCTTTGCCCCCCCCCCTTCCGAAAAAAAACCAGTACAAACACAATGAAAACTTCCCCGCTTATGCACCCCCTGACAAAACTCGCTTGTCTTTTGGTCCCCCCCCCCCCCCAAGTAATAAAATCCTGGCGCCACCCCTGGTGAAAAAAATGGCAGTGGCTTAGCTCAGCTATGCCAGAATATAGATAGGTTAGCAAAAATTGAGCTGATTATTCTTAGCTTTCCAGATGATATGCTTACAGCTGTTCCAATGACACACACACGGTATACGTATTATGTGGCACATGTATATTTATTTTGCCGGGCGACTACTTCGGGATACGATAAGTTAAGCTTCTCCGCTCTGCTGCACCGTTGAGCAGCATTTGCACTCTCCTTCTCCATGGCCATACCACAGTGGCAAACGCCAGTCAGAGGCGCTATCAAGCGGCTCCAGCGCAGTGTCAGATGGCGACTGCACAGGGAAGGCGCGCGCGTCGGCGTCCATATGTCTACCAAGGCTGTGACGGCACTCCTCTGGAAAGCGCACACCGGCGGCGGCGAGTCGCGCGCGGCCGCGGCCGAGAGCGAGGGAGGTGCCGGCGCCGGTGCGTGACACCACTGATCGTCTGCGCAGCAGCATCGAATTGCGCGCACACCGGCGGCGAGCCGCGCGCGGCGGCGGCGGCGGAGTATCATTGCGCACGTGCAGACCAGTGCCACGCGAAATTGGTTCAGCGAGGCCAGTGTAGCTAACGCTACAAAAGCCACATTTTACTGCTACCTGGCAAAGAATGGCCCCACTAAAGAGTCACGTTAATTCAGTCATAGCAACTTGTCACTAAGTTGCGCTACCTGCAACTACATTGAACCTTTTTACAGCTACGTTTTCTCTCAAGTATCTGTATGCTCGCGTGCGGATGCCATAAGACTACAATGAAAATTCGTGAAGAAGGGGAAAAATAAGTTCAGCTACGCCGCACCTGCAACAGTGTTCTGCGGTGAAGCACCTTAAAATTAATATGGTTGCTGTTACGGGACATGATGTGCGTGCCTAAAGTTTTTTTTTTTTTTAAGGACGTATTCATTTCATTTCATTTATTGATACTGTCAGCCCTTTGCGGGCTATTACAGGAGTATTTCGCGGGCCCCGATCTGATAACCACAGTGATGGAGTTTCGAAGACTGGATTCAGACTGCACCGACAGAAAGGGCGAGTTTTCGTTTACTTTCATTCATTTCAATTTATGTAGGTAAGTATCACAACACCAATTATTAAAAAATAAAAAAAATAATGCTCTCTATGCTTTCTCTTGGCTTGCCGTTTTAATTAGTTGCGTCTAATAAATGGCTACATTGAAACGCATGTTGATTTGACCTTAAGCCCAGCAATTGGGACGTTAAAGGAGGCGCAATACGGCTGCAGCTTATGAGCTTTAATACGGCACCGCATGGCGCTCACAGGAAACTATACACATATCGCATGCGCGATAAGCAATGTCGTACTCGGGAGGCTAGCGTACTTGCTAATCCACTTGTTGAGCTTCATCGCCTCTGACGCCGGCACGGCTCAACTGGAAGCGCTGCGACGGCAGCGGCGACAGCGCCAACAACCGGTCCACCATTTGTTTTCTTTGCTTTTTCGTTCAAAGACAATGGCGCATACCCACTCTGAGGATTGGCCAATAATGAGCAGACTAAAATTTGAAAGGTCATTCGAAAATGTTGGGAGATCAAAAGAACAAACTATATTGAAATGGTAATGATACGTTACAATAGGTTAAGAGTACGAGTAATATACTTTTCAGCTCGTATTTCGGACTGCCGTAAAACTATCAGAACAATTTAGAAGAGATGAATTATGTTTTACCGCACTTTAGTAACTTAAATTTTTGAACGCAACAGTAAAAAGGTACATGATTAATAGTTTGAATGAAATTACACAGTGCATCAAAGGCACTCCTGGGGCAGTATCCTAAACCTGAGGTGCCGAAGTTTAATACAATATCTTCAGTTAAGGATAAGACTATTTTTGAAAAAGTACTGATAAAAGGCACCAATATTACGGCGGACTTCGTCGTCCACGCCCACTTGGGCGAAAGAAACTGTTGCAACCTCTGCTATGGCTCACACCCACTCTAGGGGATTGGCGAACAATTGATTGTATGAATATTGCGGAGCAGAATACTGATAATTAAAACAGGAGAAAAAAGGCACGTAATAAAGATGGAAAACAATAATTGTTTGTTCAAGCATGCATATCAGGCACTAACTCTTGAAAAGAAAAAAATAACTTTTTAAAATTACTTCATTACTATTGTAACGGTACTATACAGGTAGGAATTCAAAGTCATATTGATTTTGTTTCGTGGATACAGCAGCAACTTCATCGACGACGATTCTGCTCTGGTCACAGCGACGATGATCCTAAACAATGGCACACCCATAACGGGGAAATTGCGGTAGGTGCCAAGAATAAGGCGGCGCAGGGGCAGAAGGAGAATGCTAAGGTCGCAGTCTCGCTCAAACGCTGCCAGAGGTTCCATTAAAGTACCGCGCACAACGCAGTCGGCGATCGCGTTCTGCTTTCCAAATCCAGAGGGCGTGACCAACAAAAAGTTGAAAAGAAGCAAGTAAGAGACGGTTAGAGTATTGGAGGCAGAAAAGTAGATATCGGACAGAGATATAGTGGGAAAATGAGGTCATTCTGTCTGAAGAGGCAGAGAGATGGAACACACATATTTTTCCCTTGTTACAATAAATTCAATTTCATCGAAGTAGATAAGGCGTTAGGCCAACATAAAAGGAAAATTTTTATTTTCGTTTTTTTTTTCTTGAGAGCCAAGAGGCACACATGTAACTACCCCTTTATAAAGGGGGACGCTCATAGCATGCATCCATCCATCCATCCGGTGCGCAGACATGAGATCAAGACGCAAAACACAGTTTCTTCATTTCTTCTCTCACATCCGCCGCTGCGTTCTAATAACCCTCTGTTTAACTAAGTAAGAACTGCCACAACTGTTTTTCCAGGGGGGCGACAAATCGAATCACGGAATTCCTATCGTCATAGCATGTATTACAATGACCTCTAGAAAGGTAAGCGGTTATTGCCAGGTCCAGTTCTGTAGTTCGGAATGAGAGTAAAAGAAGAGAAACTGAAGATGAAACAATGTATACGGAGCGGGCATCAGCTCG